TTTACGTCATAACAATATTTACGATTTTTTAATTATTTACGATAATTTACAAGAAGATATAATTAACATGATTTTAATTAACAATAAGAAGCAATACAATTTTTTGAAACATTTTTTTCTTAAAAACTTAAAATTTCATTCCTTTTTTTAAAATTAGAAACTCCATTTTTTTTAATATGATCATACGATTTCTTTACTTTTTCTTCATGTAAAAGAATTAATAAAATATTAAACATTAAGAAAGTATATTTAAAAAATTTACAAAATATTTAACTTTAGTTTAAAAAATTTTGACATGAAATATAAAACCTATTGTAAAATATTTATTTTTAATTTACCTTATCATATTATTATATTTTAAATTACATAGGAAAGCAAAATAAGTTGATATCTTAAACAGTCTAGCTGGATCTTAAATGCTTGTATCAATCTGTGTGAATTTATATACTATGTATATAGTCCTTCGAAACGCGCGCTGAAATGATTTTTCAATCTTGAACGCTAACTTTACACTGAGAGAAAAAATTGGCTGTTGCAGCAAATTAGATGGTAAAATATGGCAACAGCCAATTTTTGGTTACTGTAATCAATTGTTGGTTGTATTAGCCTGCAATGAAATAAGATTTCGATTCTGAAAAGTTTTTTGATTATTAATATAATTGATTCTTGAAAAGTTTTTTAACTTATTCTTTCATGTAGAATCATTCCGTTTATATCAATTCTAAACACTTGTATATATGATAAATATATAGGATGTCTCATTTTAATATCCACACAAATAACACAAAAAAATGTATCTCAGATTGTAATGCATAAAAATATTTTTGAATAATCATCGGACACGCATACACTTAACACGTATTTATGAACATTACAAATATATCAAAACATTGCAAATATTAAAAGGAAAATTTTAGGGATATATAATAAGATGTATTTAATTTTTAAGAATTTTATTTTATTATTTTAAAAATATATATTGTTGGAAATGCACTTATGTATCTGATGAATATTATAGCGCATATATATATATA